GTGGACAACTTAATTAAACTTTAATTATTATTATATTTTTTAATAATTTGGATGAATTTCGGGAAAATTATGTGACTACATATTTTAATATAGGCAATAAAGTAAGGTAATTCTATTTCTACCTTAGCATTTGGCCAAAATCGAAAGGAATAAAAGAAAGAAAAAAAATATTTATTTAAAATTTTTTCATGAAGAGTGTTTGCAAAATAATGCAGGATAATTTACAGTCAAGGTCGGTTAAGAAAAATCAGCAGGAAGTTTGGTACCATAAGAACCAAAAAGACCCAAGCCAATCGGATTGTTTTTTTTTTTTTTTTTTTTTTTTGGTATTAATCGGTTTGATTAATAGACTGATGACCAGAAAACATTTTAATTATTGGATTAGAAATCCAATCTGTGTGTGAATCTGATTAAAATTCGGATATGAATAAATTTTGGGTTTTCCAAAAATTAGAATTCTTATATGGTATTTAGATAATAAAAACATTATACAAATTTTGTTAAGTAAGGAGAAATATTTGAACCCCATCTCATTTTATAAAAATAAATCTGTAAAATTTATTGTATGTATTTGACCTGATCAATTTACTTACTAATCACCGTTAGATAGTCTAGTGGTCAATTAGAATTCTTGAATATATTATTCAAGAGCTTTTGAATTTAATACATTTGAGTTGCTAATAGGGGTGATTACTAAAGGTATTTACTTAATTGTCAATTTTAAGGTTTGAAGGATTTATTGATGTGAAATAAAAAAATTAGTTGAGATGTGCATAAATTAGTCCAAACACTCCATCTCACAAGAAAAAAAGAAAAATTTACTTGCATGAAAGAAACGAGGCATTTACATATCGGGTATTGTCCGATTATCCGTGAGAACCGAAACATGGGAATCCCTGGGCAAAGTTTTGTTGTTGTTTTTGATAGTGGTTATGGTGTAAAGTGGGACTGGGATGAAGAAACCTTCCTCTTCGCTTTCTCAAGTTTAGACGTGTAATGAGGTCAGCTTTTGCGGCGCCCCAAATGTGGGTTCAAATGGAGAAGTTACAAAAATAAATTATATATTTTATTGGTTAAATGGAATTATTAAAGCCATGGTGGATTCCAAAAGGCACCTCCATAATCGTTGTAAAACAAGGGATTGTCCTTCCTTATCTTCAAAATTTTATTTATAAAATAATATTTAAAATGTCCATGTTATGTGTAAATATTTTCCGAGTTATTAAAAAACTCATAATTTATCACTTCTCTTCCCTTTTTGAAACAAAATTTTAAATAGTAATTTCATTTAGATGTCAATCCATTTGCCCTACGATATCATGCTACTATAATTAGAAGTATATATGTCTTGAAGATGATCATTTGATAGGCAAAAATCAGAATTTAATGTTATAATTTAAATATATAAATTAATTATTTCTTTAAGATATAATTTTAAGGAATGATAATGACAATTGCAAGTATAATCTATTCGTGTCACAATTACACTGGTGGGTGCTAGGGGAACATGGTATCCGATCCGATTTGACAATTGCAAGGTAAAATGGAAATGTAGTCAATTTTTTTTTTTTTTTTTTTTCGGTTTGATTATCTGGCGAATAAAGTTTCTTTTCAGCTTTTCCTTTTACCTTTTTTTACTATTTTAGACGCGTAATGAGTCAGCTTTTGTGGTGGGGTGGCTTCAGTTTATTTTTTATTTTTTTAAATTAAACAAATAAAGGGAACATGAACAACCATTTCATTTCCATCAAAATCTGTAATTATGTTTTGTATCATCTGAAAATAAAATATTAAAAGTACGTCAAGTCTAATCGGTTTGGATAAACAGTTCATGACTTTGTCTTCGTGTTTGGTACTATGGAATAATTCCTTACAAACAACAAATTTAGTATGAATTTCGAGAAGAAAATATAATTTTTGTTTTTTAAGCGACAAAAATCTGTAAATTATCTAAAAACTATATTAAGTTCTGGTGTTTGGAAATTTAAATCTATAATTATCTTGGACAACTTAATTAAACTTTTTTTATAATTTGGATGAATTTCAGGAAAATTATGCGACTACATATTTTAATATAGGCAATTCTGTTTCTACCTTAGCATTTGGCCAAAATCCAAAGGCATAAAAGAAAGAAAAAAATATTTATTTAAGATTTTTCATGAAGAGTGTTTCCAAAGATAATGCTGGATAATTTACAGTCAAGGTCGGTGAAGAACAATCTGCAAGAAGTTTGGTATCATAAGAACGAAAAAGACTCAAGCCAATTCGGATATGAAGATTATTGAAACCAACATTTTCTTTTTAAATAAATGTCGTAAATTAAAAGATCATCTTATTCTTCCCATGATGTGGTCCAAATTTCTTATAAGATGATGATCCCAAAAAATCAATAATAGTAAAAGTATGTGATCATTTGAGCTATCTATTTATATAAGATTGATAGAACCTGTTGTACTTCAAATATATTGAAACATAATCAATCTTGTAGTTTCACATGACTTTTAATAAACAACAAGTGTATCAAAATTTTATGGCATCAACAATTGTATCATATTATAATTAAACTTTAGAAATTTTATCATTTCTTATAAAATTGATTCTAAATTTGTATTAGTTAGCATAGTTTCTATATTTTTAATTTCAATTTTTATTTCAGAAACCGGTAATAAACAACTTTTTAATTTTAAAAGACACAAAATCCAATTTCTTATTTTTAAATTCATGTTTTGAAAACAAAAACTTAACTAAACGCTGCCTAATAAATTTTCTATTTGAACCCACGCGTAGACAGGACAGCCACAAAAGCTAGAGGAAGGTAACAGGAAACTTCATATCACATAAATCCTTCCATAATTTCATTTTAAAATAAAAATAAAAATAAAAGATTTTTTTTTTTTTTACCACTACTGTTGTCTGCTCGCAGTTGGAATGTTGGACTGACATACCTCGGTTCCACGGATAATCGGATATTACCCGATATCTAAATGCCAAAGTTTCTTTGATCGAAGTAAATGGAGTGGAGGGGATCAATATTAATAACAATTATCAATAATTAAAAATAAAAGTCAATATTCCTTCTCTTTTGAGGACCCAGTTGGAAAAAAACTTATTGGATGGCCACAGCCACAGCCAAAGTCAAATATTCATCACCGACCTCAATGGAGTGAAGTCCCATTTTCACACTGTCTTCGGATAATCGGATTGGTATTGAGGATTAATATTTAACCCCACTACTCTTTGTAAATTTCTATTTCTGACGCAAAGTACTGTGAGTGTGATTATTTTATAAATTGCTTAATTGTCCATGACGTCGTGCACTGAATCTGAAACTTTTCATATTCGTTTCCAAGAGATGTTGGTCTTGGTGCTGTAAAATTTCTGCACATCATTGGATCACTGTGTGCCGTAAGTTTCTTTTCTTTTTACGATCACCCCATTTAGCAAAAATGTTATTTCTTAATCTTCTTCCTATGTATCTGCCAACATATTAATGGTCGCCGAGAGAAAGCTTTAATTTCTTTTTTCTTTATGTTATGTTAATCATCAGCTGTGTTAATTTTCAGGTTGCGAAAGTTGCAGGTAGCGGTCAAAGACTCAAAGCTAGAACCATGTTCATTGATATGGATTTTGAAAGCTTTTTGCAAGAGCTGGGTGATGATTACATACAGGAGATGGAATCTTCTTCTTGTGCGACTAATTTTGATGTTGATCTTCCATCACAATGTTATGATAAGCAGGTAAACCTTTCTCTTAATTATCTTCTCTTTGTGTTCACATGCACCTCAAAATCATGTTCAAGCCACTACTCTTAACACATTCATCTTCCTAGCTCACTTGAGCTAACTTGTTTGTAATATAATATTGTTTTGTTTTGGAATGAACAAAAGCTGTTGGGCATCATGCTCCATGTGATTATGTCTTTTGTGTATTTTTAATTTATATATCGTTTCATTTTAGGAAAATCATGTATCTTGCTTGTTTGGCTGCTAAGAAAACCTGAAAAAGACTGAGAAAATAGAGAGATAATAAGGGAAAGAGGTGACAGAGCAGGATAAATTTCTTGGAATAATGATTTATGTACATACATAGTACAAACGGACAAAGAACGAACACCCAGAGATTTTGATCAGTTATGTCTAGGTCTTATGCTTTATAACATTAGGATTTGTCCCCTTAAATCTTTCATAAATAATATATATAATTTTAATATTGAATACCGTCTATAGTTTTTTATTTATAGTTACATACTTTTGGGGTGAATGGGACAGACCAAGGTCAATGCTAGTATGCCCATGCCCATCCCAAAATAATTCGAATCAAGATATTCAAACCAAAATTTTTAGTATACAAATCAAATCCATTTGGGTAGACCCCTAAACCCATAGATCATCCTAATACCAAGAGTATATAAAATTAACCCATACAGAGACCCTAAATTCTAAAATCCACACAAAATGTCACCTTACAATCACAAAGAAAACAAAAACAAAACTCAAAAGGGTTGGCCTAATGGTCAAATTTGCTCAATTTTTGAGTTTTTGGATTTAAATTTTAGGATCACAATAACATTGTAACAACTTAATTGATCATGCTAGAGGTGTAAACAAGCCAAGCTAAGCTGAGTATTGAACTAATCGAACTCGGCTCGTTAGCTACAGTATCAGCTCGAGTTTAAGTTTGAGCTCGGTGTTGAAATTCGAGCTACTTGAGCTAATCGAGCCATTGACCTCGATCTCTCCGTGTTTTTGATTTCTCTGTAGAAACTCTATTGACAGCATCACAAATTCACAACAACAAAACCAGACCAAACCAAACCAAACTACAGCTCTCTTCGCAAGAATCAAAACTCGTGAACAAAACTCCCACAAAACTTCCAACCCGTAACTGATGATCACCAACCGTAAATTCACAATAACAAAACTAGAAATAGAAAGGGAACTCTTATGAAGAAATGGAAGACGAAGAATATATATATAGAAAGGGACGGCTTTGATGCAGAAATGGAAGTGAAGAAGAAACTGACGGATTGGAGAAAAGATTTGGTGGATTAGAATTAAAATTAGAAGAAACTAGAAAGTCAAAGCTGTAGAAATATTATTGGCTATTGGGTTTGTCTTCTTATTTTTAATTATATATTTCCTTCATAATTACTATACCTCCCCTAATAAATTATGAATTACATATTCTCCCCACTGAGCTGAGTTGGATGAAGCTCGCGGGCCAGCGAGCTAAGCTTTTGGCTGTTCGAACTCGGCTCACCAGCTTAGCTGAGCTCAAGCTTTTTTCGAGCCGCGCCTAGCTGAGCCGTTCATCGAGTTGCTCGGCTCGTTGACACTCTTAGATTCTTTGAGTTTGCAGAGTGTTCAATAAACTCTAAAGATTAGTTGAGATATGTATAAATTAGTCGAACATTACCAAAAAAATTAAAAGAAAAAAGAAAAAGAAAACAAAAACCAAGAGTAACCTAAGACATTGAATAACCATGACGCTTTTTAACTTTTATCTTTTGGATTCTTTATTGTTAATGTTTTAAAAAATATTTCTTAAGTGAAAGGGTTATTCACTCTTAAGTTGTGTTTGGGACATGGGATTAAAAGTAGGATTGGACTTATTTTTTATTATTATTATTATTATTTTTTAAGAAAAGTCGTCCAATCCCAATTTGGTTTTGTTTTAAGGAGAATGGGATGTGATTATTTATAATCCCATTCTCCTTCCCCAGTCCCAATTCATTGGGGGATAAGTAACAACACAAGGTTCGGCCGAATCTTGATAGACCCCCTATAGTACCTATAATATTTAAATCACCCTATAGTATTGCTAATTACTCTAGACCCCCTATCATTTGTGTCTTTTAGTTACATTTAACGGTAGAACGAGTAAATGACTTGAATGACCTCACCTCTTATGCCCATAAATCGAGCCAGCCCCTTTGCTTTCACTTCATCTCCAGCAACCCCCAACACTCATATTAGGCTTAAAAAATTATAAAATTATATAAAATATTACAAATTTTTTTATAAGAAAATAGAAAAGAAACTAATAAATAAAAAAATCTGAAAAAATCAAATATAAATTTTTCTAAAAAATGGAAAAAAAAAAATGTGACAACGAATCTTATGTTGAAAGCGTAGGATTCCTTGTCCCAAGTTAAGATAATTTTTTTTATATATTTGTAAAATAAAAAAATAATTTAAATTAATATTTTGCTATAGAAATATAAATAATTTATATATTAAAACTATTGATATTCATATTTTGGTTATTAAATATAATCTCCTTTAGGTATAATCAATTAACAAATATCCTTTTTATTTTTTTTAAAATAAAGATTAACTTATCTAGAGGAAATTCAAAAACATCCGATCAGAGTACAAACCAAAAAAGAAGGAAAATAAAGAGAAAGGAATCCCTCTCCGAACTAAACCCTCATTATCCTTTAGAGTAAGATTTCTAATGTTCATAGGGTGTATGTCCCACCAAGTAAGCTGGTTATCGCAAACCAAGATTAGTCAAGGCATAACAAACATCACTTATTAATATAACAAAAATCCCCTTATTGTTAACTTTTTGGAGTTAAAATAAACGGTAGAGGAGTGATTAGGTAAATATTCATTAATCCATCAAGTTATAAATTCTAACGGTATACTAATGCCTTATTAACTCTAGGGGTATTTATGTTATTTCTGAAATCTTAGAGAAATTTTGTTATTTCATTAAACATCAAGGGGGTCAAAAAAAGCCCCTGTTTTTAATTTTGATTTGATTTGCTTATACATTTGATTTAATTTTGTTATCTAACATTACTAATATTATACTAAATCATAATAGTATTTTATTCATAATATAAAAATAATTATTTAAAATTTTAAATCATTAATTAAAATTAATAATTATATTTCTCATTCAAGTTTATTATAATTAATTATTTATATAAATAATGTAATTATTAGTAGGAATATTTGATAACATTTAAGAATTTTTATGACTATTGTTTATTTGTTGATAGGAGGTATCTAATTGTACTCAAATTGAAGATAATGGAAAAGGAAAGGTTGATACAGAGATAGCACCACCACCACCACCAACTAAAAGAAGGAGGACCTCTAAGGTTTGGGAGATGTTTGATAAGATCAAAAGGGAAGATGGGACAGAATTGGCCATATGTAAACATTGCAAAAAGCAGTATCCAGGATCAAGCAAGACAGCAGGAACCTCAAACCTATTAAAACATATGGGAAAATGTGCAGGTAGGAGAGATGGTGATGGAGGTAAACCTTGTGACGAAATCAAGGAAAAAAGGAGCTACAAGAGCATAACCAGAAGTGATCCATTGAGTGTGGTTGAGAAGGATTCCTCAGAAAATTTTGGATCCTATAGCAATTTAAAGGCCAACATACTTCACACTTATAGAAAAGAGAAGGAAAAACTCACAAGTTTCATTAACAACCCCTCATCAGGTCGTTTCAATTTAACAATCAATTGTTGGAGACGCACTGATGGTAGAAATACCAACTGTTGTTTGACCAAACACTTCATAGACAATGGTTGGGAACTAAAGAGCAAGGTTCTTGCTTTCAGAAGAGTGGGATTTTCCGACAACAGGGGACTTTTCGGAACTTTCAGAAGTATGATATTAGATTGGAGGAATCTTGACAAAAATGTGTTCACCATAACCGCACAATATACTGAGGAGGCTTATCAGATAGCCAGCGAGATTAAAGGGTGGCTTCTTGATCAAAATTTACTTCCTTTAACTGGAACATTGTCACATGTTAGTTGCTTGGTGCATATTCTCAATCTTCTTCTCGAGGATGGATCGCAGGAAGTAAACGGACTACTTTTCAATACAATGAAGTGCATTTCTTATGTCCATAATAAACCAGATAGTGTTATAAAATTCCGAATGGCAGTAGATCAAGCGAGGGCGCAAGGTAGCAGTGTGACTTATGAAGATATGCCTGCGAAAGGGACATTAATTAGCTTCCAAAAATTTGAGGGAATTTTCAGGTTAAGAGAAGCTTTTAATATGTTAAAGATTTTCGATCTGGATTTTAACAGCTTAAATATTAACCCAGAAGATGAGGAATGGATAAAGGCTACCTACATTTACAAGCATGTAAAAGTGTTAGATGAAGCTGTTAAGAGCCTTTCAGGGAAACAATCATGCCTTACCACAAACGTTTATTTTCCTAAGGTTTGCAACATATACAGGAGCCTGTGTGAATGGGTCAAAGGTGACAATTCAAATGTTTCCTCGATGGCTGGTAAGATGAAGAAAAAATTTGACACATATTGGGAAAATTGTGGTTTGGTTTTAGCAATAGCTATAGTTCTTGACCCGCGGTTTAAACTTGACATTGTGAAGCGCTGGTTCCAGGAAATCTATGGCCAAGATGATGCTGAGGAGCAGTGTGTAGGAATCGAGTTCAATCTTAAACAAATTTACAAAGAATACTCAGGCGGCGGCTCCAACAATTTAACTGCTTATTTTGACACGCTAGATCCTCTGGGAATGCCATGGAGTACTTCTTGTTCAAACGATGCTGAAGATGGCAAGTCAGAAAAATCAGAACTTGAACGATATTTAGAAGAGCCTAAGTTTCGTTCCGTTAAAGATTTTGACATACTAACTTGGTGGCGTGCCAATACACCAAATTTCCCAATATTAGCAAAGATGGCGCGTGATTTCTTGGCAATCCCAGTTTCAACTGCTCAGTCGAATCCCTCGTTCAATGATGATGTTATGAAGATTGATCCAACCGCCATTGACATAGATCCTGAGACCACGGAAGCTTTTGTTTGTGTAAGGGATTGGCGGCAAAGGCCTGAAAACAAGTAAGAATTTTTTTCATTATTTCCCTTTTGTAGTCTACATTTTAATAAGAATTCTTAACGTGAAAACTGCTCTTCTTTTCACAGGGCCTGATATTTCATCACCTCTCATCTGCTTCCATTAGCAGAAAAAAGAAGAAGAAGAAGAAGAATTCGAGATTGCTTCACCGATTGTATTCTGGACTTTCATATACAGTTCTACCTTCATATTATTATATAAGATATAGCTCTGTTTTCATATTCAGGGGCTGCGTTCAAGTCACTGTAATGTTTTATATTGTCATAAATTTGAGAAGGGTATTTTCGTAAGTATGGTAAGTCTAACCATTTCGTAAAACTTGGGGGTGTATTTGGTTGTTTTGAAACCGTAGGGGGTTTCATTGTTCTTTTCCCTTATACAAAAACAAACGCTGTAGCAGTGAAAAAAAAAAAAAAAAAAAAAAAAAAAAAAAAAAAAAAAAGATGGCAAAATTCGAAGAATTGGAGCGACAGAATGAGTGTCTAGAAGAGCTACTGAGCTTCACTCTAAACTCTCACATAAACCAAACCCTAGGCTTCGACCTCGGCCTCTCCAGCCAATTCAGCTCCAATGTCCTCCTCCATTTGTTAATTACCTCGTAATTTCGTAATTCATTGATTAATTGATTCGTTTTAGATGTTGTCAAGATTCGCTTCAAGGAGTTCCATTATGTCCTCTATAATAACGGTGTCGATTTGGTTCATCGAGATGGTTTGCTGAAACAGAGACAAGAGGAGTGGAGTGAATTGGTTCTGAATAAGGGAGATGAATTGATCAATGTAAGTAATAACTACTTGTAGTTTAGTTAATATATTATTGGTAAATAATTAATCTAAGAATGAATTTCTATTTTCTCTTTCAGTTTGAATTAACTAAAGATAAGCTGTTCATTGGTAGTTTGGTTGGGAAATAAATTTAGATTCGTACCTCAAAATTCTCATTTAAATAAGTGGCATGAATATATTTGGAAATGAATTTTACGGCTGATGTTATAATTTTGTTGCATGTTAGACTTATGAAACCTTTCGATAAACTTTACGAAACTTTAGGGGAGGTTTTTGACCGTTTTAGAAGAGATTTTTAAAATTTTAGGAGATCTTTCTGATGAATATTAGAACTAGTAGGGTTATCTTCTGCGTTATAGCGAAACTTCAATGAAGGTTAATAAATTTTTTCTTAATGCAATGGAAAATTTTCATTGACTTCCAGAATTTGAGCTATATGGATTCTACTATTTTAGTTCCAAGATTCCCATAAACCTCTTCTAACATCAAAGAGAGAAGTTCCTTGAAGTCTTAAAAAGTTTCTCAAAGACTTGCATGTTTCTTAAACGAAGCGGGTCTATCTGTAATTAAGTCAAACTTTGATGGAGGTCAGTGAGATTTACTCTAATATTTTGATGGGTTTGTGGTAGATTTTGAAGACGGTAGACTTTGAACTTGATGTTCAGGAACGCTTCTTTTCATTGATAAAAGGTAATATATTTATTTTAAATTTGTAATATATTTGGCACAGACTTGGACCAGGTTTAATTAATCTGTTAAATAAATGCATGATACTTGAAGGTCAGGTGATATTATATTTAACTTATTTGTTCTTGCCTTATTTTGCAATTTCACCTTTGTAATTTCATTAATTGGCAGACTGTCAGCTGTTATGCTTCATTTTCGGAGTTGTTAGAAGCAGAGAGTCTTGCGGAAGTCCTTCCTGGAGCTAAAACTGTTGAAGAAGGTATTAGAGAGTCTATTTAAGCAATCAAATAGACATTCTTAGTTTAAAACTCAGGGAAGACAAAACTCTGTTTTGTTCTCGTAGATGGCTGGTTCAGTAAGAGCCTTAGAATTTGGGAAAATTACTAGCTTTTCATCAATGTCAGAATCATTCAGGAGTAAAGGATGAATTTCTATTTCAGGTGTGCAAATTTATAGGAAGTTTTATGTGGAGGAGAAGGAAAGGCTAAACGGTGTCCTGGCAATATTTGTTTCTAAACTGGCTACTCAGCCTTACATTACATTGGCCACTATACTGTCTGTGAGTCTGATGAAACACCTGCTGTGGTCTATATTAGGAGATGTAGGAGGGGACAACAGAGGAATATTGCTAATGCAGCAAAAGGAGTGCTAAGCAAGTGAGTGGGACAGATGGCAGCATGAGGGTAATTAGTGGGTGAATTCAGTTATAGAGTATGGGACTGAATTGCATAAAAGAGGAGGGAGAGAATTAGAGAGCATATTCTGAAAAAGTTGGAAAGTGTCATTTGGGAGGGAGCTGGCCCTCGAAGTTCAGCAAGCCATGTTTTCCTTCATATTTTCATTTTCCTTCACTGTTTTGCTTTCTAATTTTCCATTGAATCAAAGTTGTGTTGAGTGGATTACTTACTGGAAATCAATACTAATATCATCGTATTTTATTCATCTCTTTTCCTGATTGTGTGAGAATTATTGGTGTGTTGGTTGAATTTGCTTGGGTAGATGGATACTGTGAATTGATTGATTGTTGGGTTTGAGCTTGGTATCTGTCAGAGTTGCTTACTTACTGCAGTCTTATTTTTTGTGTTTCATCCGTTGGTTGGTTAATTTCATGTTTTTGATTCAGGGATTGGATTATGAGGGTGTTCAAGCCGTTTGGGTCTTGTACATACTCCTGGAACGATTTCGGATGCACTCCCCCCACCAAGATCAACGCTTCTGTCATCATTCTTGCTGCCATTTAAACCAAGTGTAAGATAATGATTTGTGAAGGAATATATGTATGTCTTGATTGTAAAATTGGTCGACGAGAAATATTTACTGTATCCAACTCAAGATATTTTCCTTGTTTGCTTATGTGTTTTAATTATTGAACTTTCTGTTTAATTAGTTGAGGTCAAATGTAGTACCTTAACTCAAGGAGCCAGGGCCTTGGCAAAGCATGTTAATAGGAGCAGCAAGATACTAGGGTATTTTTAGTGGAAATGGTTAGTACAATGTGAACTTGAAATTTACTCTGGTACTTTTTGAATTTATATACTATTGCTGAGCCCTTTTCTATAAACATAGCTATTTGAGATTAATGGTGACTCAAGATGATATCATAGCCTATTGCACCAATAGTCCTGTTTTCAAATTTAAAACAACTCTACTAGGAATGAGAAGAATGCAGTTATTCTTTGGAGTTCACTCGAGAGGTTTTGGATTGTGTATTTAAAGATAGTAAGGGAGGTTTAGGCCATCAATTGGAATTCCAGCACGTTAATATTAAGTCTAGCACATCTTCCTTTGATTGAGGATCCAATTTCAATACAAAGAACTTATATGTCATTGTAGGAAATATGTAATGTGTAGTTAAGGGATTTTGGTGAAATGGGCTAGGAATGATGGGTATCCTTTCTTGCATGTCACAGTCTACCCCCTTCCAATTTCCTTCATTTTCTAATGACGCCAATTTTTTCCTTGGACGAAAAAATAAATATGAAAAAATAATTACTTTTATAAATTAGTTTTAGCATCTGATTCCCGCATTAGTTACCTGTTTATTTTTACATTTCCAGATTCTGACAAAAATAGGTTTGCAATGGATGTCATTTGTCGTTTAATAGCCCAATGTTGCTGGTTGAATGTGCACATTTTTAAACCTCATGGGATTGTCTTTGAGATAAGGGTAGCTGATGGTTATGGTGCACGGTGGTCCAAAGATGGAACCAAGGTATATGTTTAGTGCTACAAGTGTGCTTGCAACCTATATTTGTGCTAACAGTCATCTCTATTTGAAGAGTTCCTAGTACTTATTTTTTCTTTTAATGTATGTATATGAATGGAGTTATGTTGGAGAATTGGTTTGACTTTGGGGTTTTGAGTTAATTCTATTGCTCTTTTTGTTTATTTTGTATTTTAACTTCTTACCGAACATGATTTCGCCCCTGAGCATTTGGGTATAAACATTTTTACTTCTATACATAGAAACTGTAGGTTCAAATCTTTGGCTTGCTGCGATTTCCATTTCAAGATGCCACAGCTGCGATTCTAAATAATGATTTCTCTGGGCGTAAAATCAACTTTTTGGAAATCATTTTTCTATGACTGAGTGACAGCAAACCTAAGATCTTAATATTCATGTGTATTTGTGTCTTTTCAGTTCATAGGATTTCTTGAGGTATGCATGGAAGATGGTCACTCCAACGGATGGAAGCATTAGATTGACTTTGGATACTTTTGTAGTGATTTCATTGATTTATGCACGCCTTCTAAGGTAACCGCTTTCTGCTATATTTTTTTTCTTTCACTTCTTTGCATAGTTTTAGATAACAGTAAATCCTTCACATGCTTGTTTTTGCATCAGTCCCCATCCTTTTATAGTGATTGGGAAAAATCAGCACTGCTTAATGATTGGTATTTGGTTTTTGGTTTTGAGTAATGCTTTCTCATACAATATAGTACTTGACCCTTTCTTGCCTCTTTTGTCTCCCCTTTTTCTAATCACTTAAACTAGTTGAATTTTTTTATTTCTTGGAGACTCAGATTTTTAAGATGGGCTTGCTTGGGTGTTGTTCTGCTGTCTGCACCGTCATTGTCCATTTAATAGGTTTTTTTCGCTGTGTTATTTGATCTTTAGAGCAGAGTAAATACATGGATAAGATGGAACAAATATGTCAGCATAGAAGTCACGATATTTTCAGACAAACATGTCAAGACAAAATTTTATACATTCATTTTGATAATATTTTACTTTGTACATGGAATTATGTAGCCAATGGTCTAGGAGAATTCCACACATGTAAATATGCTTCTTGTTCGTCGTTTCATAATAATCCCAATTATATCTTGCTGATACGTGCAATGGTTCAAATAATTAGTGTTTTTTTTTTTTTTTTTTTTTTTTTTTTTTTAAAAAAAAAAAAAAAAAACTAATTATTTGAATTAGAGAGCCGCAATCTAACACTTTTTGTCTTCGCATCTCCACTGATTGAGGCAATAACCTCTTTTCCTCCATTTGTGCTATACTTTCTCTTTCTTTTTGTTCTAATTATTTTATTTGGTGAGTGCTCCCCCCACATGTGAACCAACAAAACTAAATAAAAATAATGAGAAGGTTGGAATTCTCATCTTTCACAACTTTTGAAGATCTCACGATGGCACATGAATGGATATATCATTTATTA